TAATTCTTAAATTAATGATTGAATAAACTCCACGCAAGTTCCATGACAATAAAATACCTGTTAACTAATTCAGTTATTTCCCCTCCCCAAATTTAATGAATGGTTCCAAGCAGCAGCAGGCTTGTCTCCCTTCCTTCCAACTTGCATTTGCCCAATGAACCAAATATATGCTGATTAAAATTTCTTTCTCGCTTTAACTTGATTCTTGGGAAACCTTTGCCACTTCAACTTCTACTGGAAATTTTCTTTGATCATCCCATAGTTAAATATTTGAGCTTAACTTTAACAAAATATTGCAATAACAGTTCTAAATATGGATGACAATCATTATTTAAAGAAGTAAGAGGGTACAAATGAAAAGATTCAAAATTGACAAGGTTTTCCATTTTACTGAAGCAGAGAATGTTACCACATCCCCTAACTTTTTCTTTTCTTTCTTATGATGTATGCCTTATTTTCCTCTCACTAAAAGCAAATGACATCTCCGGTATATATATATTTTTTGTCTTTTCTGGCAATCTAAATGGAATGGAAGGACCATTATTTATCTGAGGTAATAGCAAGGCATAATGCATGTGCTAACTTATTAACTAGCAGAGGAACAAAGAGAATCATATGATAAGAACATGCAGAATTTTTTTTTTTTTATATTTCAAAAAATAAATAAATAAAAATGATTTTTTTTGTAAAGAGAAAATTTCATTTTACAAAGCACATTTACTGGTACAACTTCAAAAGGATATTTTGTTCAAGATTTTTCAGTTTTCAGTATTAATTTAATATGTTAGAACTTTTAGATGTTTTCAAAGTGATCCTTTTTTGTTTTTACCAATCACAGCAAAACATTAATATAAATTTTATTTCTATGAATACAAAATGAAAAAATACCATTGGCTTTTCAATAGAAAACTCAGCCAAGCAATTGTTATCTCTATAAGTTATTATTTTGGGGAATTAACTCAAAAGTTTGCTAAACATGTTAGGAGGAAAATATAGAACAGAAAAATTCAGAAAATAAAAAATAGATTTTTTTTTTTTTTTTAAACTAAACACAAAGAATTCTTACAGCTTTGACAAGAAAGTAAACAAGCTTTTTCTGTCCATTATGATTTTCGAGTAAAAACACAAATCAGAGAGTGGTTCTCAACATGGGCAGGTAGGTTTGGGGGGGTGGGATTTGGACCACAGATTGGCAGATTGAAAATTGAAATATTACAATTCAACAATATGCCTTTTGAATCAGACAATCTTGAAATTGAATTCTGGAATATGGTGAAACAGATCCATATGCAAAAGAAAAAAGGTTGACAACCACCGAAATGAAAGAATCAAGCAATTGAATAATCTTACATACAATAAGATGTTCTAAAGTTTTCAATTTTTGTGATGAAAAAAAAAAAAAAAAAATTAAAATCTTCTGTATGTTATTTTTAAAAAAATTCTATCTATATCATTAAAGATATTAAGTAATATATTCATGAATTTTACATATTCAGCGGTATGAAGAAATATCAGTTCCTTATAGTTAAGAAAGTGGTTCAAGTGCTTTCTAATTAGAAACTAATTCCTTGCAGTTTCTACTTGGATTCTCCACAAGTGTTTTTTTTTTCTCCTTTCTTCACTTATGTGTGTCTGCTACAATAAGCAAATAGTAACCATTACCAATATTTCTTCTATTTTAGTTATTTTATATTGAGTAGGAAAAAAAATGATCAAAAAGAAATTCATTGAATTTATCACTATTCTATATATTCAATAAACTTATTCTTCTTGTAAGTTATCTTCATACCTACCTATTTCTGAAAGAAATTCTTGCTTACCTCAGATGTCTGCTTTTTCAGGTCTACAGCTAATCTAAGAACTGATAATTTTCATAACTTGATAATTTTGCAGCAACTTGAAATTACAACTAGAGAATAATGGTCAACAACGAAATCAAGAATTCTTTACTTGATAAATGAACAAAACTTAAAATCCTCAAAATTGATTTATAGTTGTTATACATGATTAGCATAAGCATTTTGCACAAGGAGTTAATAAACTGAATTTGTTTAAAATAAAACTTCCTTTTTCAGATGTTTGAAAGAAAACATATTTTATCAACATAATCAAAAATTAGAATACAATTCGTTTTCCTACATTTATTAATCATAGAGGATAAAATTATATTTTATCAAGCAATTTTAAATATGCCAATATAATAGCAACCACGTAAAAATATTGATATGGAAAAATGTTTGAAAGTCAACTACCAGTATATAATTATGTGTGGGCAAGTTTTCATTTACAAGTGCAAAATTTTAATTTATTAAATCCTGTTTACTAAATTTGGTGTTTTTTATCTAAATTTTAGATTATGTGCTACTATAGTTAAATAATTTGTTATAAAAAAAAATCTCATTTTCATATTAACAAACACCTGTCATAATTAAATGCAAGGTAAATTTGTTTTTTTTAAATCAAAGATATCTTAAAAATTTTAATAAAAATGAGAAAGATATTTCTATATCATTTCAGAAGCTACATGTAATCTATGGTTAAGAATTATTCTCTGCTGAAATTTTATACATATTTTTTTTTTATATTCTAATTCTTTAACCTGGATTTAAATTGATTCAAATCTTGAAGTATTTACAGAAAATTGGGTATGAATTTCTCAACCCAAAATTTGAAACTCATTTAGACTTTTGATTATTTGTGAATAAAAACTGATCAACTTAATGAATAATTACTATGAATTGAAACAAACTAGAAAGTTGATGAATGTCCATAGAACTTACATAATGCACATAAATTACACACACTTTTATATATATATATATATATATATATATATATATATATATATATGTATGTATGTATGTATGTATAAACACCTATTGATATGTTAAATTATATAATTTGATATACACCAAGGCAAACAGAATTTTTGTCAAAGTGCTCAGTAGCTATCAAAAATATTAAAATTTCACAATACTTATCAAATATCAACTTTGTGCTTTAGGAATAAGAAGAATTGGATTATTACAGAATGCTATAATAATTAATACAATTATGATGTAATAATTAGTATTAATAAAATAATAAATAATTACAGAATTAATAATCCGCAACATGTAATATTCTGTAATAATTAATGCAATTATCTGAGTCTTGAAGAACAAAGTATCACAAAAATCCAGGTCAAGCTTTAATAAGTAGCACAAAGTCCTAACACTTTTATATATAACTATAATAGGCTTATGAAAGAAACTGAAGAGATAAAAATAACAAAATAATATTGATAATAATACTAATAATATTTATTGTATATTAGTAAACTTTTTTGACCAACTAACATAAAATAAATATTATTAGCCTTATCAATATTTGTTGTTTTTAACTCTCAAATTTCTTTCACTGGCCAATTATTTCTACATATAAGAAAGAAGCATATGTGAACAATCTTTCTTTCTTGTGTGTGTGTGTGGAAAACGTTTCATTGAAAATAGATTTGATTATGTGTTTTGCCAGTCTAAGCTTCATCAAATTCAAAAATGAAAGAAAGAAATATGTGTATTAATGAATCATATACAAATTTCTTTCTTTTGTTTTTGGATCTGATGAAGCCTAGAATGGCAAAATGCATTATCAAATCTATTTTCAACAAAACGCTTTCCATTTGTCAAGTTTCTTAAAACTTTGTCAGGATTCTATATCCTATTTTAAATACACACAAAATATATATATATATATATATATATATATATATATATATATATATATATATATATTACATACACACACAGAAAAAGAAAATAATTCCCTTTAATTTACTATTACTCCTTTCAAAAGAAAGAGTGAGTCAATAGAATCACAAGATGTTATTTAATTGCAGAGAGTTCCTATATTACTACTCAGTGGTGGGTACTATGTCACTTTAGTAGAAAGAAAAACAGTTTGAAGCCAAGAGGAAATGGGGAAACTCCCAGTATCTATTTATTTAAATTACAAACTGAGATGTCAACTGGAAAGACAGCTCAAAAACTGTGACTGGTTTGCATTCATACAATTTGCCAACAAATAAACAAAAAAAAAAAAAAAATTTAAATCAAGGGCCAGGGCAGGAGAAGGTGTTTATAGAGCAACAAAAGCCTGTGCACATCTCTGGCCAGAAGAACAATAAAATGAAGATGGATTAAAAAGAAAATAATTTAAATATTTCTATTCCAACTACAGGAATATTTTATTCATTATATTTTACTTTCCTGCATATTCTTTTTTTTTTTTCTTTTTTTTTCTGATGTTAAACAATGGAGGGATAAATGAATGTTAGAAATTCTGGTAAGGGAGAGGACAGTGGCCGGTGCTTATTAACAACAAAATTTCTCTTTACTTGATCGTTACATTCATTCATGGCTTTCCTTTTCATTTGCAATGTCACATGTCCTTTTTCTTTTCTTTTTTTTTTATTGTTTATGTCAACTAACTCATCTGTGAGATAAGTGATCAGTATGTTATGGCAAAAAGATCAGATGAAAATTCTAAGCTGAAATAGAATGCTCCATTTTTATTTATTTTTTTTTTTGTTACTTTTTTTTTTTTTGCTTTTTTGTTATTTTTATTTCTTTCTCCCAATGTGTGCACTAGGATCTGCAAAGAAGGAATAATAATAATAATAATAATAATAAATTACTGGGGGATATAATAGGATGATAGAGGTATAAGTTTTCTGAAGGTGCAACAAATGAAGGTGACAATTTCCACATTGCCTGGCACTGCCAGGTAATGTGAATAATGTGTTCTTTTATTTAATTATTAATTATTAATTATTTTTCAAAGATGAGATCAGAGGTGGCCTGACCTGCCACCCTCCACTAACACTAGCCTGGATGGAAGATAGTCCAACATCTAAAGCTGGGAAAAGGAGGAGGAGGTGCTTTCTGCTGTCACCTGGACTAGCATCAGAACAGAAGATCAACATCTCATTGGTGTTTGCACCAATTGACCACAGATGACTATCAATGGCCCACGGGGGGGTAGACTGGAAGCTTCAGTGAACATTCTAGAAGAAACAAAAAATAGAAATATCAGCAATATTTCCAGACAGTTTCAGTGGTTCAAAAATGAATACAATTTAAATACTGATTTTTACTAAGAATATTTCATAAAGTGACTAAAAAAGGATTATGAATTGCCAAAGTAAATGATTTAATGTCAAACTTGCAAAGCATTTTTTTTCAGAAAAAATTATATTAAACCCATCTACTAAATAGTGTTTAATATTTTTGTTATAAATTCTCAAGAACAAAAAAATATATATATAAATTCACTTTCATCATTTGTTTAGGTTTTATTACAATTCTAATCATTGCTTTTTAAAACAATAAACATTGCCAAAAAGTGAAGGTAGTTTAAAAAAAGTGGTGCCATGAGAAAAACATTTCCTTTGACATTTCATCTAATTGCTGGCACCTTTATCCATGTTTGCCAATATATCTAATATTATTTGTATTAATATGAATATGCTAATTTCATTATTATACATTCATATTTGGTAAACTTCTGGACATTTTGAAAGCCTTTATTCAATTAATATTGAATAAAGAGAGCAGAGGTTCTTTTCATTCTGCTGTTTATTTTGGGCAATTAACTGATATTTGATATTCTCTGGCATGAGCAGCAGATTAAGAATCTGTCAGTGTGACATGAATAAAACATTCAGTTTGTAAATTCTAAAGAACCCCAAAAATATATAAAATCATCTTCATCATATGTTTAGGTTTTATTCTAATTCTAATCATCGCTTTTTAAAACAAACATTGCTGAGGAGTGAAGGTAGTTTACGATTCTAGCTGTGTCAATGGAAATACTGTTCTTTTGAGACTATTTCTTATTGTGGGAACGTTTATCCATGTTTGTCAAAAACTTTCAATCTCATTCATAAAGAAAAAATAGATACAAAATGAACATCTATTTATTAAATTTCTGCTTTACAAAGTTAAAAGTTTACTTTTTAACTCATACTGAATTTGCATATCTTATTGGCATATTAATAAGCATAATAAAAAGAATTTAAAAATAAAATGTCTTTTTCATGTTGTTACCAAGTTGTGTATAGAAAGATCAGTTAATACCTGTAAATAATATGATTAGAGAAAAACATGCTAGAAACATGAAACAAGCCTACAGACAAAATGACATACACATGGAATTTATTTAAATTAAACCAAAATCTAAGTTTAAATCAAGTCTGACTCTTGTTCTCTATTTCAATATTACATTCCATTGTTTAAGGTCACCAGTTAATAAACAAAATTTACAATTGAATTTAATTCATGTGAATGATATTCTTACACAAATTTTGGTTGACAAAAGAAAATCTACCAGTGAATGGGTTTTTTTGAGTGTTATACTTTAGCACCAGAGGGAGTGATATGTACTTTAGAAGCTCATTGGTTATGTGGTTAAGAAAGCCAAGAAAACTTCATTATATCTTATTCTTTCATTAGATTAAAAAAAGTATTAAAAGATTTCAATAGGTTTGCAGATTTTGAAAAAGCCTTTTTAACTTTTGTATTAATTAAAAATCAAATTCATAACTTTCCTTTTTTTCACCTGAAGCAAAGCAATGAAGCCACTAAGATGCAAGCAGGTTGCTTAATGTAAGAGCATATGAGGAAAAAAAAAACAATATTAAGAGAGATACCCTAGAGGAAAGTTCATTAGAACAATTACCATGAAAATATTTATGGAAAGGGCATAGGGAACCTAGTTTATGGTGATTATGAAAGGTAGGGATTAAATATTGTTTAAAGCATTGATCCAGACAGACTTTTAGAAAAATTTTATTTTAATGATTTCAACAAGCCTCAGCATCAAAATTTTAATTAAAACTAAATAAAAAATTCAAATAAGCAACTCACTACCTATAGTCTCCTTGGCTTGGGCTGGATGTTAGAATATAAATTTCTCATTTATCTCCCTACAACTTTCTTCTTTCCTTGCCACAAATTAGAATTTTTTTCTATTTGTCAGCTAATATGTATAGCAACATCTTTTGCTTGCCACTAAGTTTTGCAAAGATTGAGATCAGTATTTTGGATCTACAATTCACAGTCAAACAAACACTAATACTAACTGTGAAATATCACTACAATATAAAAAAAAAAAAAAAACAAAACAAACAACAACACTCTTATAAAGGCTAATATGAGAAGTTAATATCAACCCAGATATATTATTCCATAAAAAATATTTTTAAGATTAATTTTTGGCTAAACTACTATAGACTATTAACAATATGAATTGTGTGTAACCATAAGAAGTTAAAGTCACATGACCATAAATTATTAACAACAATGTTCTTAGCTAAAAGACATTGTACAAGGGCCAGCTGAAAAGTTCATAGGCTGACAAAAATACTCTTATGGAATGTGACCAAATGAAGTTGCAGTTCATACATTTCTTCCATCGGCACTGTAGTCTTTGGATCATGTTGAAGAAGCTTTGATCAAAAAAGCCATCAACAGCAGATATGACATCATTATCACTGCAATACTGCCAAGTGTTTTTACATGCTGGGAAACAGATGATAGACAGCTGAGGCCAAATCAGGAGAATAGGGAGGGTAATCAACCAGTTCAAAGCCACAGTCACACACAGCAGCCATTAAAACCAAGGACTTGTGTACTGGAACATTGTCCCAATGAAACAAAACCCCTTTTGTCAATTTTTCTAGGTGTTTGGTCTTGATAGCCTTTTGTAACTGCCTCAGCAAGTTAGCATAGCATTTGATGACATGGCCCTTTAGAAGATAGTCAATAAACAGAATGCTTTTTGCATCCCAAAAAACTGAGACCATCCTTTTTCATGCAGATGAAACAAACTTGGCCTTCTTTGGAGCAGGTGAGGAGGGGGTGTTTCTACTGCATGAATTGTCTTTCTGTCTCAAAGTGGGTTAGCAAACATTCAAGGAAACCATCTGGATCTGCCTTTAACAATGCCAGATCTTCCCACAAAGTGATCAGCATTTTCAGCTTTTGATTAGGTGTCAGATGTGGAACCCACCAAGCAGAAACCTTTGTCATACCAAATACATTGTACAGAATATTCTCAACTCACACAGGATATGCTAACAACATTGGCTATTTAATTTATAGTCTGTCATTCATCACCATGTGGTGAACATGATCAATGTTTTTCTTGGTGATGGCAGCTGCAGAAAATACAGACCTTGGGTCCACTTCAAGACTCTCCCTTTCCCTCCTAAATTCAGCTTCCAACTCTTTCACTGTTGATAAAGTTAGAGTGTTATTCCCCTAATGTAGCAATCATGTCAGCAAAAATGTTCTTGGAGGATAAAACCTTTATCTGCAGGTACTTGATGGCACCAATATGCCAAAGTTACTTTTGAAGTCTTCTTTAAACAGTTATATATCAGAATCCTTCATAGTCAGCCTATGAACTTTTCAGCTCACCCTCGTATTCTTAGGAACAATCTCATAATTCCCAAACTTTGTTGAAAGAACTACACAAATTGTAAGCATAGATAGAAAAATTAAATGCTTGAATTAAAATACAGGGTGTTTCAAAAGTCTATGTCACATTCTAAGAACACTTATATCATGAACTACAAATGATAGCATGATTGAATTGGTACCATTTAAAAGCTTAAAGTGTCAAGTTTTCTTCTGTTAATTTAATTTTTTTTTTTCAAATCCAGTAATGTCACAGACTTTTGAAACACCCTGTATAAGAAAATTTTGATGTAAAACAACAAATGGCTCCAAAGGTATAAAGAGTCACAAAGAATTATATTTGAATGACTTACATAAGGACTATGAAATATAAGCATAATTTAAACACTATCCTAAGAATTGTGTGTGTGTGTGTGTGTGTGTGTGTGTGTGTAAATCTGTAAATGGCTGAAGTTGTATAATGTGACTTCACTCTGAATTCTATTTTCAGATGGTAACAATATAAATAATATTAATAAATTAAAAAATCTGTAATCAAAGAACCCAAGAAAAATCAACTCAGCATCCAAGAAAAATCATGCTTCTGGCTTATTAATTACTTTGAAATATATAAGCAGTAGTTAACAAAAGAAAATAAACAGCTTGTCATTATTCACTAGTAATTTTTGATTGCAAAAGCTTTCTAAAATATGTAGCTGGTCTTCAAAAATTTGTACTTTGCATAAAAGCAGTTGGTTGTGCATTTGTCATTAAGCAAGTCTGTTGCTGTATTTTTGTACTTAAAATTTGAGATGACATTGACCAAAGTTTAGAAAAATAAAGTCATAATAGTCAATTATCTATATTACAAAAATGGTTACTTTATGAAAGGATATTTTCAGCCTTTTTTTAAAAATTTGTTTTATCAAAATATTCATATAACTTGACTGGACAATTTACAGAAAAAAAAGAATTTTTAAATTCAAACAAAACATTAAAGAGAAATATGTATAATAGAACATTTTTTACCTGACTGCCACTTACAAAGTGTTTGTAGGAAAATATTGTTTTAAACAAAAGAAAGAGTGCTATATAATATAGTTCCTCCTACATGGCAATAGGATACTGAACAATCACCTCACAAATATAGAAGAAATTAGATTCTAGAGAAGGATGCCAAGAATACCATGGATTGAACATGTAACAAGGAAGTTTTAACAAAAACAGCAACAAAAAATACACCTATAATTAGAAAGAAAGTGTTTAAATTTCTATAGCACATAATGAGGAAAGTGGGCCAAAAGAATTTGACACACACAAGACATTGAAGGACAGCAGAAAACAACAAATAACCTACCTAATAGGCTTGTGTAAATGGTTGGAAAAATAGGAAATAGGAAGGAATAGTAAAAAGACAAACCTTACTAAGAGCTACAAAGCTACAATTTTACTAGTTTTTCTGTTTCATCTGCTTGACTTTACTCAGCTTATTCAATTAAGAAGCTATGTTCTTTTTTTAACAGATTCTCTTTATCCCACATGATAAGAACAATATGATTGATCGATTCATTTTCTACAGTTTATCAACCCTTTGCAAATTATGTAAAGCCAGAAAATATTTTTAGATTTTAAGAATTTGGTGGGGTGAGATAAAAATATTTTACTGATACAAGTTTTACTTATTAACCCATAGCTGGGGGGGGGAGAATTCATAACTATTCTCAAGGGGTATTGGTGTGTAAGTGAATATGAGAAACTTGACTGAAAATTGGAACTCTGCACTGATTTCCAATTCAGAGCAGTTATCCATTACTCCACCTGCACATCCAAGCTTACAGTATACCCAAGTGATCATCCATCTAAGTACTGACCAGACTTGACATTGCATAACTTTGGTGATATTATGAGAACTGGTGTTTCAACATGATATGCGCATAAGCTTACAGTGAGCAAAATAGGAAAAAAAAATAAATAAATTAAAGAAATAAATTCCCAAACCAGAACTAATTTGATTAAATTTCTGAGATGAGTTATTATTTTCATTCAGTCTTCATCTTCATTGTTATGTTTTGGTTGTTGTGCTCTATAGCCTTCTTCAGTTTTCTATCAATCTGGTCAATCTTCAGGGAATTTCAAACAGGACCCATTATATTAATCCATGAGAGTTCTCATTTTTCTGTCCATCTCTCATCTTGATCTTTTCTTTTAGTATTCTTCAGTTATTGCTTGCACTGTTTCCAGTCTGTACTACCCAGCCCAGGGATTGAACTCACAATTACTATGCCACTAAATTCATGAACCAATGCTTTAATCTACTATTTTATTCATGAACAGTGGAATAAAAAACAATCTACCCTGTAATTAAATAAACTGTTCATTTCAAAATTCCTTGAAATTTACCCAGACCAATAGACACCTGAAGGCCAGAGTCAGAACAGTCCAAAAAATATCAGACAAGATTAGTCTGAATGTAAATAGTATAAAATAGAATGAAATAATAAACTAGTTTTCCACATTTAATCTTTAACAGATCAAAGTATTCACCCACTTTTACAGATACATTGTCTTATGATCAAATCAAAATGATCAGTACTCACCATTCACTTGTAACGGAATTTTTTCAAACAGTTGTTGCCTAGATCGACCACATATACATACTGCTCACTGACAGTAACAAGACCACTGGGCCGCATCAACTTGTCATCAAAACTGTCTATAGCGAACTGAAAATTTCCACTCGAGTTGAAGACTTGTACTACACCTTTACCACGGTCAGTTTTTGTAGCCAAAATTAGACCATTTGGATCAACAGTTATTCCTTCATACTGTCCTTTGCCAGTATTGACAACCTGGCGCAAGAATTTGCCGTTCTTATCAAAGATCTGTATTCGGTGATCGGCCACCAAAATTTCATCATTGCAGCCAACAGTAACAGAGGTTAATAATTTAAACTGGCCCTCTTTGTCCCCTTTTTTGCCAAACTGCAACAAAAGATTACCTTCTGCATCAAACATAAACACCTTGGCTGCCCCCATGTCTCCCACAATAATATCACCTTTACTATTTACTGCTACATCAATTGGTTCCTGAAAGAGTTTTGAGGTAAATTTGGAAAGTAGTTCACCCTCATTGCTGAGGGTGTATACAGTCTTGGTACGCCAGTTGACGGTGGTGAGGTTGCCAGTAGGGGTCACACACACTCCAATACCACTCTGCTTCTCAAGAGCCTCAGACGTAATATGTCGTTCAAGCTCGACGCAACTATTCAACACTTTGATGCGACTGTTACCTGTGTCCGAGACAAAGATAGAACCTTCTTTATCCGTCACTACACGCACTGGCTGAATGAAATTGTCCAATCCTGTTCCCCGACAACCAAATTTCCATGCTGGATTGTTGTGGTCAGAAACTTCAATAGTGTATGGACTGTCTTTGATGGACCGGTCAAATATGCTGATATACAATTTCATTTTACCAGCTTTTGGAGGGACAAATGTTATTTCATATGTCCCGTCATCTTTATCACGAATTCTGGTCTCAATCTGCTCACCCGTCTCTGAACGTAATTCAGAAACAACGGGATCAGAGCCTGTTGTTCGAGGGTTGCCATGGTAATCAACGGTAGTTACGGTCACTGAAGAGCGCAAATGAGTAATAGCTTTACTGATCTTTGCTGTAGAGAGTGCAGGAAACGTGGTACTAACTTTGATGCAACCAAAATTGGCAAGAGCATTGGATATATCCTTGTATGCTGTATTGTGTCGGAACTCACATTTGATGAAATGATTCTCTCGGGGTTCACCCAGTGTGCTTGTAGCATCTAGCTTCTCGTTTAAATCTCCAATCTTCTTGGTAATGTTCCGTACTTCAACTTGGTACTGCAGACCGTCACATTCATTTTGAACTTTCTCTTTCTCGGCTTGGATCAGATCCAATTGTTCTTTTAAATCTGCTTTCTTGTGCTCGCGGATTTTGCGAACCTTCTGCAGAACTTCATGCCTTCTTTTGTCAATTAAATTAATGAGATCTTGGAAAGTGCGATTTATGTTTTCTATGGTTCGTTCGACACTTGACTCAAGACGCAACATTTCACCGGACACGTTGTCATAAGCAGTTGTCAGGTTCCGAATGCACAGATGGGCTTTGTAGAGAAGTATTTCGGACATTCGCTTGATTGCTATGGAGAAAGGTATCACAGTGTGCTCACTGGCACCCTTGCCATTATGCTCACCTCCAGTGCACAGTGTGCAGAATACAGTATCACATGTTTCACAGAACAGTAACTCTTGGGAAGGGTGATTGGAACATTTAGGTATCACATCACGACGTTGCTGTGACATCAGATCTAGCAGTTGGTTAACAATGAAACTAGGAGGAAACGATGTCACCCCTCCCCGTGGTATGCCAATTGTTTCTCGGCAGATAGGACAACGAAATGTTCCCGTGTCATGGACTTGGGCATCAACAATGCTCACTAAGCAACTCTTGCACACCGTGTGGGAGCAAGGAAGCAGCTTAGGGGAATGCTCGGTGCTGTCATAGATGCACAGACATGTCCCGCATGTCAGAAAACTATCATTGAAGTCTTCGTAATTGATTGAAACAGTTTCCACCAATGTAGAGGACATCATATCTGAAGAAAGAAAGAAAAAAGAAAACAAAACAAGTTTAATAAGAGTTAGGATTTAATTTTATCAAAGACTTAAGGAAACAAAATTGTTCATATAAAACCGAATTAGAAAATAATTGCATAATAAATATGGGAGATAGTAGCAAAATAATTATTAAGCAGGAAATATAATGATAAAAACATACAAAAATATGTATAATATTATATAATAATTTTCATATAGAGTCTCCGACTGTATTTAACTAACAAGGGTCTAAAAGACCAGTTTAAAACTGAATTGAGAGACAAGCTGAACGGATGATTTGATTATTGTAGTGAAGGTTTTTGTAAAACTAACCGCACTTTTTGAATAACTGATAACAGCCTGATCGATTTGTTTTTATGGCTTATCAACCTTTTGTGGATTATTTTATGCTGAACCACATTTGGGACTGTAATGATTTTTTGCAAGTGAACAGTAACAAAAAAAAATAAAATAAATATATCTGTGATAGTTACTGTAATTAATTTGATAGTATACAGGCTGTCCTTCTGTAATTTTATTTACAGTAAAAAAAATAAAAAAAGTATAGAAAGTGAGATATACATATTATAGCTGTTTTGTTAACTTTTCTCTGAATGTCCGAGACAAGATATTACTATAAAAATTTTATTCATTTGTTTTTGGATATTTAGTCAGCCAATTATTTAAGAAAAACAAATGGGTGGGAATAAATATAGCTAAGATGTTTTTCTACATCACCTCAAATTGATCAATCTTAAAGCATATCAACAGTGTACAATCAATGTCAGCATTTTGGGGTTCTTGAAGATAATTAACTGCAGGAATTACCTTAAAGAATAGTTTGTCACAATTATTTTATCTTTATTCTAAATGTTTATATTTAATTCTTCCCAAAGATGAAGAATTTATACTTTCACACTGTTTATCTACCATTTCAATGAAAGAAACTACAACTTCCAACCAAACAGAGTTTTGCAGCAACAATAAAAAAAATTATGTCATTAGTCAAGCGAGTTTTTACATAATATTTACCTGGTCCTCAATTAATTTTATACATTCACTATAGTTTGTTCAAGACAAACTCTTTACATTTTAAAGGCAGTTAATGTTGTGTCTTATCTTTCCCCAAAATGTAACATTTTGGATGAATATGAATGGTTAACAATGAGAGAAAAAAAACAGAAGCATATTAAAAGAAAAAAAATATTCCTGTTTTTGATAATTTTAATTTCTGAAATGAAAAATTAATTATTATAAACATAATTTATTTTCATTGGTTTGTTTTCTACAGCTTAGCAATCTTTTGCAGGTTATTTAAAAGCCAAAAATATTTTTTGATAGTAAGATTTTTCTTCAAGGGGATAATAATGATTTAATGGTACAAGTCTTACTAATTAACCCATAGCTGGGGAGAGAAGGGGATTCATACATTTCCCAAGGGTATTTACACATAAGCAAATATAACAAACCCAACTAGGATTGGAACTTGACTCTCCACTTGTCATTCCCAAGAGGTCATCCAATTAGGTACTGACAAGGCTTGACTTTGCTTAACATTGGTGATCATACTATTCAAACTGGTATACTTATCTTCATAAGTATCTCAATGTTTCGGCTGTTATACACTCTGGATTTTTTTGTAGATAGCCTTTAAGAATTTACAAACTGAATGTTTTATTCATGTCACACTGACAGATTCTTAATCTGCTGCTCATGCCAGAGAATATCAAATATCAGTTAATTGCCCAAAATAAACAGCAGAATGAAAAGAACCTCTGCTCTCTTTATTCAATATTAATTGAATAAAGGCTTTCAAAATGTCCAGAAGTTTACCAAATATGAATGTATAATAATGAAATTAGCATATTCATATTAATACAAATAATATTAGATATATTGGCAAACATGGATAAAGGTGCCAGCAATTAAATGGAATGTCAAAGAAAATGTTTTTCTCATGGCACCACTTTTTTTTAACTACCTTCACTTTTTAGCAATGTTTATTGTTTTAAAAAGCAATAATTAGAATTGTAATAAAACCTAAACAAATGATGAAAGTGAATTTATATATATATTTTTTTGTTCTTGAGAATTTATAACAAAAATATTAAACACTATTTATTTATTAGATTCATTTACAACATTCTTAAAACTAATACAATGAGAATTAATGCAATATTTATCATTTATCAATTTAGAAATAAATAAATGTAAAAACAATTTTTTATTCATAAATTTATAAACATTTACTAAATTATTAAAATATGTAAACCAACTATAAGGAAATCCTTATTATTTACCATTTTATAAAGTGAATCAATTGGCAATTAGCCAATGTTTTGCCAACCATTCCAATAAAGAATACAATAAATAGTTTAAATAAACAATTTAATAAATAAATAGTGATTATTATTTTTGTTAATTCTCAAGAACAAAGAAAATGTATAAATTCACTTTCATATGCTTAGATTTTATTACAATTTTAATCATTGCTTTTCAAAACAATGAACATTGTCAAAGAGTGAAGCTTATTTAAAAAGTGGTATCAAGGGAAAAACTATCCTTTTGTCATTCCATCTTATTGCAGGCATATTTATCCATGTTTGTTGAAATATTTTAATTTCCAACTTATAATTTCCAAATTAGTAATGAAAATAATAAATATTTAAATTAATAAAAACACATTCTGAGTAATTATTAATTTCAAAATATTCTAATTTTTTCATGTTTGTACAGAAGTTTTTTGTTTTTTTCTATAATTTTGAAGATTAACCTAATCAATAACATTCATCACCCATTAAGTAGAAGACTCACCCAAAATATTGGTATTAGCAATTATTTGTCAGTTTCCATTAATTTTTAATATACTTTAAAATATGAATTTACTATTGTAAAATAGTAAAATATTTAAAACTATATTTGCTGCAAATTCTTTCTTTTAAAATTTAAATATTTGTATGCAAAGAAACACCAGATTTAACTGCTAAATTCAATATTAAAAATTTTCAATTAACTTTGTTCCAAAGATTATTCTGCAATTACTTGAAAATAACTGAGCTTAAAAAACAAACAATGCCAAAGTATGAAAAACTGTAACAAGCTGAAACATATCTCCCATTATAGCATTTATGAAACAGGAAAGGTAAAAATGTATGAGGAATTCACAAAGTATTACCACAGAAAAATATCTTTTTTGAAATAAACATTATCAATAAATGCTTGAAAATGTTAACCCCAAATCCCTGCTAATTGCAGCAACGTTATGCTAACATTGTTATATCTACTGCAAGTAACGTTAGGTTACTGTGTTGTGCCAGGAAATTTTTCTTGGCCATCTTGCAGATTTATAAATCTACAATCCATCCTTGTATTGAACCCTGTTGCCATATCTGCTCTGGTGCTCCTGCTGTACATCTTGAGATACTTGACAAAATCCAGAGAAGGGTCTGTAATGTAGTCGATCCTGACCAGCATCTCAACTTCAATCCATTCTCCTCAACATGATGTGGCTTCCCTTTATATTTTCTACAAATATCTTCATGACAACTGTTCTGATCAGCTGTTTTTCCCTAGTGTTCCGACTGCATGAATTTAAATATGCATACTCAATTGGCAACTAGCTCTCATGCTATTACTGTTCAATTAGCTACATACAACCACTACTTCTACTTTAACAGTTTCTTTTCTCATACCTCAAACCCTTCTGATTTCTTACTTTGCTGATTATTACAATCTTCAAAAATTTAAGGGCAACATCACCAACTTCTGTTTTCTTGAACCTTATTCCTTTTGGTCCTTTATTCAATGTTCTCCATTCTCTTTCATTTTTACTCCTTGTAACCCCACCCTGCATTCTAGTGTCATTGTTGCCTTGCTTGGGAGTGAACAGATTTTTTTTAAATTCTAATTGTTTGCAATTTAACATTTGATTATGAAAAATCATTGAATCTAACCCAAAATGCAGATAGCTTCTCAAAAGGCATATTTGAGAACAAAATTAATTTTTTATCAGCTTAATTCATAATTCCTTGTACAAAAGATCTTCCAAAGTAGAAGGAAAATATAATTGTTCAATAAAACAGTATCTCAATGTGTGAATGATTTTTAATTATTAAATCACCATTATTTAATGACAGCATTCTAAGTTATGATTGCTGAATTGTTTTTATTATTTATCCAAATATACTGACTGGAAAGCTTAATGCAAACAATTGAGTGTGCTTTGTAATAGGATGCATGGTAGAGTAATAGATTGCAGTTTGGATTAAAGAATTGGAGAGCCAAGTTTGAATACCAGTAGAGTTCATTACATTCACTAATGTGCTATAATCTTGGATAAGATATGAATCCAACTCTTCTCCCCACCCACCCCAGGTATCAGTAAATAGTAGGACAGGCTGCATTCTATAGTTTTATTGAACAACGGGAACTGAGTAAGACAAATGGCAAAAACCAAGTTACCATAAATAAAATTTTTCTGAATTACTTTTAAATTATTAAGAGAAATGTTTGTAACAGAGATTTGGCTAGTGATATATAAATTTCTATATATTAGAACAATATTAGGTAACTGAATGACAAAGTGGAGAAAAAATTCTATGGTACACATTTCGTCCTTTAAAAAGCATTCAGACGAAAGTAATGTTCTTATTTATGAAATTATATGTAGGGGGAAGGGGAAGATATAAATGTAAACATCAGTTATTGTTATGCCCTGAGGGGAAATGCTGAATATATAGGAACATTAAATTTAAATTTTAAAATTTCTGGCATCTGACATGTCTAGAACACACAGCTTTTGGTCCTTGTCAAAATTCTTCTCATCAGAAGAATCCTAGCATGCCAGGTTCCTCTGACTATTTTAATTTGTTCAGCAGGCATTTCAGTCAGATCACAATGTTCTGCTTTTCCTAAAGCATGAACAATCCTCTCTTCATCATGCAGAGGTAGTACACATGTTCTTATGCATCATATATCTGATAGTTGTCCCTGTCATCCT